AATGTTGATAGTTAGTCTCATATTCGGTTGTTAACAATTTAATAGACTAAATATAAAGAGTTGTTTTTCCTGCCTGTCTCTGAAATGTTAATGAGAGCTATTTTTTGGGGGAATATCGCCAACGAAGTCATCTCTTCTTAAACAAACAAAATCAAATACTTTACCCTAAGTAATCTAGATCTGGAGTAAATTTTCTATTTATAAAGACGTTAATGAATGTGCAAATAAAAAGAAGACGGACATTGATGACATCAGACTATATTAGAACTATCCGAAAATGGAAAGAAATAATTCGTGGAAAACATTTTAAATCAAATTGCACCGCTTTCATGTGAGGGAAAGCATAAAGGTGTCGTATCCCAATTCCAGTTGGACTTGTCAAATGCACTCTTTTGCAAAAAAATCGAGGATCCAAGAAGGACTTTTGCAATCGTGACGAAATTTGGTAAGCAAAATCATCTTGATCGAACAAGTAAATGATCAAAGTTTCAAGGCAAATGAACAGAAACTGCGATCATAGCGCGCATTTCTAGTGTGCAATGTAATTCGCAAAGTATAAAACTAGTAACAGAGGCGTAAAATTCATCTTTTTTTTTTTTTTTTTTTTTTTTTTTTTTTTTTTTTTTTTGCTGTCATTGTAATTCCGTAAAGAAGTAACTAAAGATGCCATTACGACGATATCGAAGACCTTACAGACAACTAAACGACTTCAAACATGGTCGCATTGTAGGGTTGCGTGAAGTTGGGAAGTTGGGTGGTCATACCGGGCAATAGGCTGCCACCTGCAGCGTACAGACACTGCTGTGCAAAGATGTTGGCAGCAATGGTTGCTACAAGGAAATTGCTCACGAAATGAAGGCTCTGGAAGGCCAAGGATCACAAATGCGAAGCAAGATGGGATGATTATTCGCCAGGCCCGAACTGCCCCAACCGTACTGTCGACTATTCCACACACTAAAGCCATGTCTATAACTCCCGTGGTACCGTCCCACCATCTTACGGCGCTTGTCTCTGAGACGGGGCCTCTGAGACGTTTGCCCTTGACCCCACAACATCTGCGGAGTCGTCTGGAATGGTGTCACAGCCGATCATCATGGCTGCCATCAGACTGGCATCGTATGGTGTTCAACGATGAATCTTGCTTCAATTTTGAAGCAGAAGATCACTGTGTTTGTGTCTGGAGAGGACGGGGTCAGCGGTCGCAATCACCTTTTGTTTTACAAAGGCATACAGCTATAACCCCCGATGTGATGGTGTGGGTCGCTATTTCTTATGACAGCAGCTCATCTTTAGTCATCGTCCGTACATCCTTAACAGCTCAACGATATGTTTATACCATCCTGCGGCCGGTCGGTTGCATTACCCTTCATGGCACGTCATCCTGGGGCAGTTTTCCAGCAAGATAATACCAGGCCACATACCGCTCGCATATCTCTGGACTGTCCCTGTGCGGTTAATACTCTTCCTTGGCCAGCAAGGTCACCAGGCGTTTCACCAATCGAGCATGTCTGCGACAAGGTAGGCCGCCAGATTCAGGCACCTCAAAATATCGCAAATCTGGAGCGACAACTGATGAATGCCTGGCAGAATATGTCGCTGGATGACATTAGGAACCTCTACCACTCCTTGCCTCGACGAGACGAATTCAAGCATGTATTGCCGCCAGGGACGATTCGACCAACTTCTAATTTGAACATTCAATCCGTGATTGTGAGCCGTGAACGGGTACTATGACCTTGATTTTTGAATCATTTTATTATCTGTGTATGAGCTATACACATATTCAATTTCATAAAAAACAACAGTTTCCTTCATGGTGAATCGATGTTTTTGCAAAAGAGTGTACATCTGATAGCAGTTCTACTAATTTCACTAGACAGCAGACACATTTTGAAAAGAAAATACGTAGATTAGTTTCCTTATACATATATGTATCACAAAAAGTTTAATTATAATCAAAACGAAGTAGCCCTCCCCCCCAAAAAATAATCAGCTACTAATATCATATTGTTAAAGCAAAATGTTTTGTAGTCTTCAGAATTTTCAGTTTTTATACGATTCAAAACTAAACACTGTTGAGTAGAATAATGTTTTTAAACTCATTATCTAGAAGAGCAATAACTGCAAATTGATGTGGTTAACATATGTAAAAGAAGTAAAGAATATCTAGGAATATTTTAATACATCACCTGAAACAAAATTTTATTTTCTGAAAAGATTTTATTAGCGGCTTCAAAAATTGCTTTTTTGTTAATTACGCAGCAGTTTTATCATTTGTTGCTCAATGTATTTAAAACCCCAAAACAGCTTTTTACTATTTTCTCTTTTTTGTTTTCATTTCGAAATATGCATACACAAAACAAAATACGCCGGCGGCCAAAGTTATAAAAATCCTCTTTGTATTTTTAAGACATACTTACTATGTTATTTTGTTTACGTATAACTGTCATATTTTCTAAAGATACGGTTAAAGTTACACATGAATAAGCTAGCATCCTTTTCTAGCAGAACTTATAGCAAAATATCTTATTAGTTGCTTGATTTCCAGTAATTTTGGCTCACCAGTTTCAGTTATAAGCAGTTTTACCATTTCTTTGAATCCACATTCTCTTATTAATTTACCAAACTGCTTTTCTAATTTATAATTTCAAAAACCCTAATTTTATAGTGTTTAATTTTTTGTATTGTTGAATTTATTTAGGGTCAAGTTGTAGCAGATTACATCTTAATGATTAAGCAAATTTTTTTTAATCTTAATTTTTATTAGAAATCTTCACTAAACCTTAGCATTTAAAAATAATAATAATAATAATAATAATGATCTTACCATATACTTTAAATTAATTTGTTTTTTAACACATCTTCTTAATTATTTTGATAATCATCCGAAAATTATTAAAAATCATTACCATGTTGAAAACTTTTCCCAAAAGACCTTAAATTTAAAATTACAACTTCCTGAAAAAGACCCAAAAAATTCATCCGTGCATTAATTTATTATGTTGTCTTTGTTTTTGTTTCAGTTTTGATTTATTTTTGCCCTTATAGTCAGTTTTCTATTTTTTATTTAAATTCTTTAACTAGCCCTTGATTATTATATTAATTTTACAGCAAACTGCTCTAATAATTAATAACCTTCATTTTACAATTTCTAAACTTTTCATTATATACACAAAAACATATGTATGTATATGTCTTGCATTTTTGTTGTATATCTCCGAGAAAATCTATAAAATTGGAACCTCAACGAAGTAAAGGAAAATTTCAAAAGCAGCAGTGCTTATAATAAATTTTGACTTGGTTTAGCAAAAGAATCTGGATTTTGCTAAAATAAACAATCGAGCAAAATTTTTATAAATAATGTCTTCGATAGTTTATAAAATTTCAGATTATGATAAAATTGAAAATTTATACAAAAAAATCTCTAGATCTTAAGTAACACATTATGATCTTCCAACCAATAATAATAAATGACACGTTCACTCTTTATTTTCAAACTCACTATAAAATTACACTAAAATATTAAGAAAAAGTAACATTAATTAATTATTCTATTAATTAAATTAATCCTATGATATATTTGTTGCCATTATTTATGTTTTTCAATTATTTAAAAATAGTTTAATAATTAACATATAACATTTTTAATAATTAGTCCAAAGGGATTTGAATCCCGAAGGACTATTAGTTTCGTTTTGGCATTTTGCGTCGGACTCATAAATGTCGGTTCATTTTTCAAACTGTTGCCACAAAATGTTAGAGTCCTGCATTATATTGAAGAAAATATAAATAATGAAAAAATCTGCATAAATGTATGTATATTTCTCGTATTGTGATAAAACAACGGTACATAGAGTCATCGAATTTTGAATAACGTAATCCTCCAACGAATATGAGCATGTGGAAGACCAAATTTGAAATTTGAAATTTGTTTTATGATCGATTTCCTATTTTTTAAAACTTTGACGAATTTTTGATTAACAAACTCAAGGATTTCAAAGCGAGCAATGGCAACGTTGTGCAGAAAAAAACATTTTTATCTCCAGCGCGTGAGTCTCTGTATCGGAAATTCTAAAGATATGCTCGTTTTAAAACTATTTTGCGATATTGCTGTTGCACTGGAACTTATGGTTTAAGTGCGAGGAACATGATATTTAATAAAGAAAGGTAACACACAAAATGTTAAAAAACGCCCCTTTGGACGTAATTTAAAATATGAAACATTTCAGATTTTTTTTAAAAATATTTTAATAATTAATATATTTAGATATATCCTGAATATTCTGAACAGTTACAATAGTGAAATTTGTTATTTCAACTCACTATAACTGAGCACGATAACACGCCGGCCGAACAAATACTAATTCAGAAATTAAACAACAAAAATCAGCGTTATATTTTCAAAATATTCACAGGGCTAGTTTCGATGGTTTTACCGAAGCACCATCCTCAGCTGCAAAACCGCAACTGAGGAAATATCTGTTTGCTTTTAAAATACTTTTAACTGAAAAAAAAAAAAAAATTAAGATTAGGAATATGTAATAGAGTTGCGTTATTCTAATTAATTAATACTAATTTTTATTATAATGTCATGTATTACAGATTAATTAATGCAAATCAACTGATTAAAAAGTAGCGCTGTTTTTAGTTTAAAAAATGAATATGTTATTATATGCTAAGTTAAATATCATCTTTATTATTAGGCGCATTAAATTGTGATTAGATGTATTAGGATACCCAAAGCGAATACATTTAAAAATTTCGTTTTTTATTTTATATCATTTAATATAAACATTGTTGGAGCAAAATGAGAGTAGCATTTTACTTTTTTATTGGTTAAGCAATGCATTGTAAGATATATTATAATATTAATCATTAGTCTGCCGTATAAGCTTTCCTTTCAAATACGAATTTTCATGCATTACGTTGGTATTGTATTGAAAGAATTGTGGCGTAAACTGTTGAAGTGCCGATTGTATAATAGTGCATTTTAATTTCAGGGATAAACGAAAAGAATGCCAACCTTGTCGCCGATGATCATTTGAATGGGTCCAATGTTCCTTCGTGGCATGTTATGTTTGTTTCAAGGAGTTTGGATCAAAATCTCTTCCTTTCCATGAACCTAAATGTTTAGAGAGGTGGCGAACCTCCAATAAGAAGCTTCCGGCAGAAAAGCGAACCCCTACTCCAGTGAAACCGGTCGGTTGGAAATACAGCCAGCACAGCATTTGGGTGTGTTCCCATTGTCAAGTCAGCGTACCTGCAGCCAAGCGAGGGATACACGCCGCAGTTTGTTTTGCAAAGCTACCAAAATCAAAGTCTCTTTCGAATAAGAAAGGTCCAAGCCAAAACAGCTCGATGACTGGTGTTGTAAAAAGTGACTTTTCCCCTAAAAAGGGGAAAGAAAACAAAAACATTTCTAATCGAATACCTACGCCAACAGTTAGCAAGAAGAATGCCAAAAATGAAGCCAAATCTGTAAAAAATGAGATCGTAGCAGAAGGATCTTCTCAAAAGCATGGTACCAAAAGCAAATTGCTTCCTGAAAGTCCAAAAACTAAAGTCAAAGATAAGGTATCCGAAGAGATCCCTAAGAGTGAAGAAGATGCCATAAGCTCGACAAGTAAGCGTTCAGTACGTCCACAAACTAAAATTCTGAGGAGACCAACTCCCAATCTCAAACATCCAGTGATACAAGTAGATTCTGATGACAGTAGTGGTGACAGTAGCAGTTCAGACAAGAGTAAAGACGATAATCCTAAGCGACTCAAAATGGGCAGCGAGAATCCGGATTCAGCGCACAAACCTAAGAATTTTGTAATGTACAATAAATACAATGTAGAAAAAAACACTAAGAATTGTTCCAAAGAAAAGCCTTCTGAAAGATCCTCAGCAAATGCAATTTCGTCAATACCGAATCCGTGTAATAGTTGCAACAGAAGTCAAGCTCCAGAGAGGCTTCATAGTCACGCGAAGAAAGATTCTAGAGGACTCATGTTCAGGAGATCTCCAACAGTGGATGTCAAAATGGTATCACCTCAGAAAAAAATTCTAGATACTATAGAGAAAGATAAAACGCGGAAGAAAGAACCAGAAAATGTTCATATAGAAGAAGGTGATAAAAATGAAAGACGAGGTCATTCTATTAAATCTCGTGATATAGAAACAAAGACTGAATTAAGTGACGTAGTTTCTCCTAAGAACTTTCTAGTCATCCAGCCTTCAACTCTGATAAAATCCTCTCCGGAACTGCTTAAACCTTGTTATATCTGCCATGAGGAATTCAAGGTTTCATCTCTGCTTCTGCACGAAAGTAAATGCTTGGAGGTAAGGGCGTAATACTTTTCTAACATCTATTACTCGTGTTGCGTGTGATTTGCTGGAGACGCTTGCTAGAATACAAATGAGACAACTGTTAAACAAACTACATTAAGAAAAATACCTACCAGATTTAGATGCATGTAATTGTAAGTTATGTTACAAACTGAAAAAAATGTTTTGCTGTTTTAAAAGCTTTTAAGTAGATTAAACATTAGCTAGGACAGCTTAAGATTAAATTACTAAAATTATCCATGTTGATGTTTGATATATGGAACTAACAGCTACTAAGCTTTAAAAGAATATAAATAAAAAGTCTAGTATTATAATACTTGATAGTTTAATTAATAGGACTAAGAACTTATATTCCAATTATTAATTATCATTTTATTAATTACTAAAAAATTCATTGTTTCGATGAATAGTTTCTGAGATACAAATCAGAATAAAAGGTAAGCCCATACAGAGAAAATTTACAAAGAGTTAGCAAAAATTTATTTACATATAAGAAGTTCGGTAGCTTAATGAGTTAGAGGTTTTAAACAAAATCTTTTTCTAAAAGGCAAGAGAAATTATTTTTTTTAATTTTAAATCTCAAACTAATTTTTAAAATTTTTTTTAATTTTCAAATTTTTAAATTTTAAAACAAAAAACCTACAAACAGCTTTTCAGAAGGTAATTTCCACTCATGAAATGACGTTATAAATAAAATAGCAATTAAAATTTCAGGGCATATGAGGCCAACGAATACGAAACCCTGATCATTTGACTTCGATATCACGATGGTAGTAGGGAATTATAGAATTCTAGGAATAATTTTCAAGAGTGCAATGGTATATTTCCCATAAAGTTTCAATAAGCTTGAGTTCTGTTGAGAGATATGAATAAAAGAATAAAAACGATATTCTTAAGGCAGATCCAGAGGAAAAGCTTTAGTTAAGTTGTAAGATTCTCACTAGTGTAATTCTCAGTTAGCGCAGAAAGTGACGAATCTTAAGAACTAGTTAGCGAATAATCGCTTAAATTCGTGTGACAAGCAACAACAAAATGGAAAGGTAACTAACCCTTTACTATTCCAATAAGATTTAACAAAACTCCATTTTCGAGTGTACAATGAAAGCCGACACTTGGATTAAGACACTAAGAATTAAACTAAAACTAAGATTAACTAAAGAAATATAGTCGAAGCTATCAAGATTCTAACCGAGTTGGTCTCTTAATTCTATTTGACTACGAAGTTTATCAAGGGCCTGAGTACGGCCGAGCGTAATAACAGCTTTGAGAGAAAGAGAGAGAGAGAGAGAGAGTGGCCAAAAGGCAGACGCGCGTAAATCAGAAACTCTGATTCTCTCTGACTCTGTAAGTAACTTCGCGGTTTAAATACCACTCCTCCTCATTAAGTATTCAGAAAGATTCCAAAACTACGTTCTGGCCGGAAGTAGTAAGTTGAAGTTAAGAATTTGACAGGAAAGGAACTTAAAATTTAACTGTTAATAAAATTAACATAATTCTTCCAAAGTTCATTTTCGAATACTAAAAACATAACTCAAAAAATCCTTTTTTAATACCAACAGGAAAAAAGCGTCTTTCTTTCCTGACGTAAGTGCTCGTTTTCAACATTAGTAGTTGATGCCTTTAATAGTTAAACTAACAATAAAATCTAGAACGCTGGAAAACGTTTTCAGAGAATTCATGTTTTATTTTTCAATTGAGGAAATTGTATATGCACGTTATTAATGCATTCAAATAAAATTGATCCAAAATTAAAATCCAGTATCTGGGAAATTAGTGTTATTAGAATCTACAGTAAACGAATCTATTAAGTTTAGGAAAGTTTACTATAATAAACATATATAAGTAATATATATAACTATATATCGAAATAATGAGTTTTTAGTAATTAATAAAATGATAATTAATAATTGGAATATATGTTGATGGGCCATTTGAGTTTCAAAAGTTGCATCTTAACGGATTTTGTATTTAGTCCAAGGTTCAAGTCAACTGATATTTGTTTAACCTGTTATAACCTCTATAGCGTTAACTTGTTATAACGTCTTACATTCATTATAAACAGTAAATGGGATGAAGATATTTTTGTAATTCTTACATGGAATTTTTTATTTGTTTACTTTTAAACGACAAAATCTTATTTTCTTCATATAAAAAAACGTTTGTGTTTCTGAGTGACATTCTTCAGTGAAATCTTATTTTCCTTTTTCTAATTAAAATGTTTTTGTCATCCTTCTCGTGAAGTTATAGTAAAATTGTTTTTATTCCTAGAAACAGTAAACATATAAAACATTTTCAGAAAGTTACTTAAATCAAATTATAAAATGAATGTTTAATTTGGCTATTATGTGTGGAAGTAATAATGTAATAGATTATAGTGAAATGCTTTTGGAATATTTAAGTAATGGGACTTATTATTGCAATTAATTTCCAATTTTAGTTTTATTTGAAAAATCAGCTTTAAACATTTTACTTATTATTATTATTATTATTATTTTGACTTTTTAAGTTTTACTTTGGATAAAATACCCCATAGAACATCCCAAATCACAAAGAAAGTGAATTCTGTATAAACAAAATCCGGCATGATTTTGGATGTTGTTCTTATTATTACTGCGGAAAACAGTTGTTCCGCAAAATTTACAAATAATTTTATAAAACTACTGAAATATGTTTTCTAAACAGAAATAAAACATGTTGTGTCGCTCTGTTCGATACAGTGGTTAACAGAACGGCTTCCAAACCGTTAGATAATATAATGTGTACTTACCCCTGTAATATCGGTCTATCCGCTGCCATACCCCTGTCTACGGATTTTGAGAATGAGACGGCTAAATGACCTATACGGCCATTCCCGAGAAAATGGCCGATCACTGGGAAAAAACATTAGATGTCATTATGCTTATAGTTCGCATCAGCTAATATAATTTAATCTCTAAAATAAATTAATTCGAAAAGTGATACTTAATGACAATTGTTTTAAAGAATTTTTTTTCACTGAAATTTATCTGATGTTCTCTTCTTTTACCTGCATAGAATCACATTTCATGATTTGTAAAAGGTCTTATTTGGACTGGAATGCAAAACTTCTGTATGAACGTTTTCTTTGTAAGAATTAAACAAATATACATTCTTTAATGTCTCATCATCAGCATTTCAGAAATTAATAATTTATTTTTGATAACGTATGGAACTCTTGTTTAATTTACAATAAATGGGCAAACTTTATTTGGAAATAGTTTCAGACATTAATGTTTGAATTGCACTGAAAAGGAGGAATTAATATTTTAGACCAAAAAAATTATCCTTTATAAAGATGCCTTAACGCATAATACAGATAAACTAAGAACACTTATAATTCTATTAAATGCATTAGAAACCAGGGTTCAGAAATGTTTATATATTAATGTACTGAAGCTTGTATCAAATCTCCTGTGCCACTTTAAATTTTTCGGTACTTTTCCGTTTGGCCGGCGCAAATCTCGCCAAGCAGACTTTATTGGCGACAACATACAGTATACACATAAAAAATATTTAAAAAAATGTTAGTTCTAAGAGTTTTTTTTTTTTTTTTCTTAAAGGCATAAACATTTTAATATTGCTCAAAATTGTATAAAAAGCCAATAAATTAAGGCAATAAATTTGTAAAAGGACATTAATTTAAGAATTTACTATGCTTTCATGGTTCAACATCCTGATTCGCCGGTTCATATCACGTGACCCCAAGCGATCTCATTTCACGTAAACTACTCTACAAAAATCCAATGCTCTCAGTAATTATCTACATTAATTCCAAGTTAAATCTTAATTTGGAACACAAGTTTAAATGCAAGAAATATTTCAATTCGTACGAATAGCTTACTCAGAAATTATGTAAAACTGCAGTGCTTTACTTCGCTAATGCATTCTCATTAAGAATTGATGGATTTAACCCTTGACTTTACCTTTTCTATATTTTCGGCTTCGGGTATTGCGTCCTGATTGACTTAATTACCGAAAATGGCCTTAGACATCTATCTGATAAAGATAAAACTATCTGATAAAAATTCTATGTAATTATATGCCAGTATTGAAAGAAACAATCAATCTGATAAGAAAAAGCTGCGACTTGTTTTGAAAATGAGGCGTAAAAGGTTACCAGCGAGAATATTCCGTTTGGCATCGGTTGTACCATTATTGGCGACTTTATCGCTTGCGCCGGCAAAACGGAAAAGTACCAAATTTTCATATGCTTGTTCTAAATATGATAGAATCAAATAGAAATAAGATTAAAAATATATAGAAATTTCGAAAATGGTTCATCGATCTTTGTTCACCTTAATTTTGCTTATTGTTATTTGATTAATGAGTGATTCTTTTACGTTATGGATTCAACTAGTTCAATTACTTAATTTTCTGTAAAAAAATTCTGTTTCATTGAATGATATTACTTATAACTTTATACTCATCATTATATAGTTTCTGAATGTGTAGCGTCTTCATGTTACGAATGAGAACAGCTGAAACAAGCTCAAATGAGCAGGGCAAAGAAGTTCGATCTCGGAAATCCTATTAAGCATTCTATAATGAATATTAACAGTTGTAAGAATATTAATGTACAGCTCAGAAAAAAGTTTTGCCGTACCTTGTTAGTCCAAAGGGGTTTTGTACCTGAAGGACTATTGTTTTCGTTTTGCGATTTTGCGTTGGTTCACTATAAATGTCCGTTTCACTTTGTACAGTCCAGTGAATGAACTTCTGTCTGTACACTGGAGTATCAGGAAACTACACAGGAGAAGGGTTAAAGTACCCTTTATTAATTCTTTAAAATTTACAATGCGTCAACTCGACCCTAACAAACTTCGCCTCTGCTTGGGCGGTAACTGAAAGTAGAATAATTGAAACTAAAAGTTGAAATGTTAACAAGTGATAAAGCTAGCCTATAGGGCTCAGCGAGGTCCCGTAACTTGAACCCCCTTCTACGCTAGTGGTAGCAAAGCAATGCAATTATGCCACGT